ATAGAGCCTCATATGTAGTTTGTCCGTTTTGTGGGGGCCTTGGAGTCTGTGCGATGCAAAATACAGCATGTCTTTACAATGACTTCGTGTCAGCCTTATCTCGCGCATGTTATGTCGACTTTGCTAGTCCCGTGTCCTGCTGCATTTATGTTTGTGTTCTTGTGAGCATCTACGCCCTATGAGAAGCCATTGTCCCAGTCCAGGACGTGATTCCTCGTGTTAGAAATGGTGTAACACACTGCATCGCTCCTCCCGAAAGAGAGTTCATCCCCATGTATTGGAAAGAGCGCTGCTAGGAGTTTCTATGTACCAAGCGAGAAAACCTAACGGACCTGACAGTTTGTAAGCTGCAAATTTTACTTGCTCACCACACGTATTTTATTTGTCTTGTCTCTTCGAAATCCGGCTTCCTTGGGAAGATGTTTGGACATAACTGTACGTATTGACAATTGAAGCTTGCAAACCAACCAGAGACAGAACGTTCGCACCCGTTTAAGTCACAGAGCTCGTTCCAAGAGGAAACGAGGGAAGGTTCAAACGCTGGATTTGTCATCTGGAGCGAAGCGCTGTCTTTCCAGAAACTGCCTTTGCAGTCTCTTATGCAGTGCTTGATTAGACATTCTCAACATGTCTAAGATGACGTAATCCTCAACCGACAGCTCCTCGCTGGCGTTACAGAGTCCTTACAAAGCTGTGCAATTTTGGCCCAAGCGCCTAGTATGACGTACTCCTCTGCCCCAAAGACTTTTCTGCATGTAGTCAGATTTCATAACTACAGTAATTGGTCACATGCCCCACAAAGCCCAGCACAAATATTCCTCCCTCAGCTTCTGATATAAAACACTCCTTTGCCTTTATGTTCTGTTTCTATGTGGTACGTCTCACACAACTCCACACATAATATGTTTTTGAGAAGCATGCAATATGATTACGTACTTCACGGCAAACTAGCGAAACATTCTAAGCCGTTGGCTTCCTACACTGTTGAGTAGTAACACTTATTAGTTGTATCAAACGACCACATAGCTGCACGTATAAGCCTCCTAGGGCCTAGAGCCTAGTGCCTTGTATAGTTGGATAAAGCCTCAGACCAATAAATTAGTGCACCAATGAGGCTGAACCATATACCTTGAAAGGCAGCTCTACAGTGTGCAGCTGAGCTCAGATGTCTCCATTGGACAGTTGATGGCCGACGACAAATAAAAGCACGGTCAATGGCCCCCCAAAAGAATACTTCCTTGCTAGTGCTCATACTGCTGCCTAGCAGTACTGCTCCCACTGGCCCCACAGGACCTGTTAAGCACCAATCAGAATTGTATTCTGGCCGCCTGTTATTTTCAGTTCCTCAGCCTGGGATCGACACTTACTCCTCCTACCCGAGGCACGAAAATTACTGAGCATTCGGCGAACTACTGCTGCTGTCCGTGGCCGCCCCGTTGAGCTTGTGTTTTAGCCTCATCTGCGAACCCCGAACCGGCATATCCCTGCCATGGAGCGTTTAATATCAGAGGCAGTACGGAGGTACGTGAACGAACGACGAAGAAAGAATCAGATAGAGACTGGTCTCCGCTGGATCGCAATGAGAATAGGATATGTGGCGAGGACTATATATCTTGGATATGCAAACCAGGTCACCAAACCCCAGCAACGTTGTTTTGGAGCTGTTGCCCTCTTCATCTGAACGACGTGACATATTCCTGCCCAAATCGTGACAATCGATTCAGTCTGAAAAGCTTCTACTGAGCAAGTCTGTTATCAAACGCTGCTTTTAAGCTTCTTCCGTTTACAACGTGTGCGGCCTTTGCTGGCCCAGCTTCCTGCGGCTAGCCTGCAGTGCCCTCGCAGTCTGTGTCGTTCCATGTTCCTCACGAAAAAGGAAATGAGAGCACCAAAAAACAAAATATCTAAGAATCCAAAACCTTTCACGCAGCTCGGGAACTTTTGGATTTTGAATTTGCTAAGAACTCTTGTGTTTTTTGGTTTCGCATCAGCGAAACCATGGGTGTTTGTTGTTTTTTCGAAATCCAAAAAGTCCCATTGCTTAGTCTCGTTTTTCATCAGAAATCCAGAACACTCGAAGGTGTCTTTGTGTTTTTGGGAGAAACCACAAAGTCCCCCTGGGTTCCACTGAACACTAAAAGACCATGGATTCGTTAAGGCGAAACCCAAAAACACAACAGCAACTTAGGAAAGCCAAGAAGTCCAACAGTTTCAGGCCCCCCACCGGGGTTTGTTTTGTTTTGGATTTTTGGTTTCTTGGTTCTTATCGGACCACCCAAACACCACAAACAGAAATAACAAATCCAAAAAAGCCCTGGGGCAGCCGGGAAGCTTTTGTTTTTCTGGTTTTCCTAAGTTTTTTTGTGCTTTTTGTTTAGCATTAACGAAACCATGGGTTTTTGGTTTTGACACGAGAAATCCAAAAGATCCCCATTGTTTTTTGGTTTTTCATCAGACATCCCAGACTTTACAAGGTTTGGTTGTTTTTGGAAGAAACCCAAAAGTTCCCCAGAGTTTTGTTTTCCACTGAAAATACAAAACCATGGATTCGTTAAGGCGAGACCAAAAAAACACCAACAACAACCCTAGGAACACCACATACTCAAACAGTTTCAGGGCTTGCTCGAGGGTGTTGTTTTTGTTTGATTTTTGTTCTTTTGGCTTCGGCCGTCGTATGGTCTCTTTAACGGTTTCCTGCTCTTGATTACACACACACACATTAAAAGTAAATCAAGATCTGAGTGCGCAGGACTTGGGTTGATGTGATTTATTTACACATTTCTTGCCTTTGCTTACCACGTATTAAGATAAAGGGGACATGAGTGTGACGACATGGGTGATAGTCATGCTGAGCACATGTGCCACAGGCTTGCAGAGACACTCGACTTGCGATCATCCATGAAAACAGTGCAGAACGCGAATCCTGCCCAAGCGACGTTTTTGACGGCATCTACGATGGAACAGAGACCGAGGTTGGTCATGGGGTGTGTGTCCATATATGTGTATATCTCTCTATATATATATATACACACACACATATATATATATATAAATATATGTAAGCAGGAGTATGTACAACCAACGAGCCGGCTTAAAGCTGGACTTTCGCCAGGGTATGCGTCGGGAACCTGCGGCATATATTTCAGGTATCTGGTTCCTCCTGCAAGGTACCCGAGATCAGGATACCGTAGGGGCCTGTGTGAAAGCAGTTTTTACACCACCATATTGACTATGTTGACATCCGCTTGGCCGCCTCGGCTTTTGTTCTGCGATTTGGATTACAGGGATCTAAAGTAGGCAGTCAACCGTAGTCTGTTTCGGTGGCAGTAGTCTTTACGCGTCATTAGTTCCAGGGGTTTGATCTTACATTCGCATGACTTACCTATCTGAAGCATGCTTTTTCACAGCTGGAGCACCATTGAAGGAGCTAAAAAAAGCTAGAAATATGCGAAAGAGTTCCTTTTATGAAAGCCCAGTGAGCTAAAGACATCCTTTGCTGATAAACCAGCGAGCTGCAGATCTGCTTTCCTGAAAGTCCAGTCGAGAGTCTTGTTTATAGCCCGCGTCTGTTGTGAAAGGGCCTGCAGGCTTTCCCGAAAGTTGGGAAAAATTAGCGTTCTTCAGCTTTTTGTTAGCTTGCTTTAATTGTTTTTCGGGAATCCCTTTTCCCGGGCCCAGCCGAAAACTGGGAAAGTGGGAAAGTTTAGCTGGGAAAAGCTTAGTTTGTTTTAGCCTTCTTTATTAGGTTTTAGCTTTCTTTAGTTTTTTTTAGCTTCGCGTTGGATTTCCTTAGCTTTTCATGGGATTTCCTTGGCTTTTTGTTGGCTTTTGGTGGAGTCCACGATGTTCCAAGGGAAATCCACAAAACTCCTTGAGGAATCCTGAACTAATCCTACGATGACAGGCCAAGCAGGGAAGGGGGAGTGGGGGGAGGGGTAGGGGAGGCGGGCTGGAGATTTGATGACCGCCCGAAGCCCTCAACCCTTTACCAAAACCCGGATATCCGGGAGCCCCCGCACCTTCAACCACAGTTCCCAGTCACAACACCGTTGAAGCCATTGTGGGAATTTGTTTAGCTTCTTCTAGCTTTTCTTAGCTTCAATGTTTTTTCCGGTAGAATTCCTGGAATGCTGAAGAAGTCGGCCCTGAAGCGGTAAGGGATGGGAATGTATGATTTGAGCATAGGTCACAGCACGGCAAAGCAGCAAAACCGCGGCTGGAGACAAGGCGATACGGATTTCACTGCTATTGCTCTCGCTGTTCAACGGAGAGACTGCAGCGAAGGAGGCCAATGGCCCAGCACATGCGCAGCTTCTTTGTGCAGTTGGGTTAAGTTGTAGGCTGATCTTCTTGCACTTTGGGTAGAGCATAAGCGTGCCCGTGCCAGCAACCGTCATCCTAATGGTTGAGATCCCACCTTCGCTTGGCGAGTTTTGCAAGCTGGCGTTAATTTCTATGCAGCCATTGCCCTGGTCGGACAGTGCAGAACCGGGCCTCCGATCAACAGGTCTGACTTCGAGCACCCGTGAGATAGAGTTTGCTTGTACGATGAGTTCAAACCTGCTGATTGGAGGATCCATCGCCAAGCGCTTCATGGCAAAAGTTTCGTCACATGCTCAGTCTAGTCTGTGGCGACCCTGACCGCCAGACATCGAATCTGCGGTCAAGTGCTGCTTAAGACAGATGTGCAAAGTCGTACTCATACCTGTTCCTCCTCGCAAGGGACCTCAATGAGGATGCTGTGGCCGAGGGGGGAGGTGCCGGCTGTTGAACAGGGATGTCGGTTGCGACTGCGCTCGGCATTGCAGTGTGGTTCGGCTCAGCGGCAGCTAGATTATGTTCTGATGTTGCCCATTCCGCATGCTTCTTGGGGTCCTGGGTTGAGATGTTGTTACTTCATTGGCTTGGTCAGACATCTTCGGCATGTTCTGGCACCCTGACAGCGACAGTTTTCGCTCGTTCACGTCAGTGTTACATCGAGGCCGCACTGGGCCGCAGCCATGGCTGAAGCCGACAGGTTGAGGCAGCAAGGAAACGCTGAGGTGAAAATTGGGCGCTTGAGGCTCGGCTTGATTTCTCGTATGTCGCAGTTCGGATCTATGGTTACGGAGCATGTCATGCAGCATGCATATCTTGGCTCCGGCAGGGAGGCAATTGAGCTGTACACCCAGGCTCTGGAGAGCATGGAGACCCAAACAGGTCGAGGGCAATGCCAAACATGAGCACCCACAGCAGAGATGTAAGCCAGGTTGCCGAGAACATGCGATCATCCTGGGCAACCGGTGTCAGTGCTACATGCGTCTCGGTAGGTGCCGTCGCACATTTATCGGATTTATCGCGCCCCACGTTTACACCGCGCTTGCCTCTGAGCAGGTACCGGGATGCCAGCGTCGATGCAGAACGCGCCGTGGAAGTGGATCCCAGCTATGCCAAGGGCCTGTACCGCTTGGCTGTGTGCCAGAAAGAGCTGTGTGACCTGGCGGGCGCTTGGGAAAGTGCCACACGTGCTCCTTGGCATGCGTCATGTTGTGAGTTTGGCCCACCAGTTGTGCAACCAAAGCTGCTGCAGAATCACAACAATGTCGATGACTTTGATTTGCTTTCTGCAAGCCACTGTTGTTCCCACTTCTGCTGCTGCCATTGCTACTGCTCTGAGATTGCAAGCGCTCTGAGATGTATGCATTATTCTTTTCGAAATCACCCGAGCTGATCAGCTTTTGACCTTGGGCTTCCTTCGCGGGCTTGACGTCCGTTGCTAGTCATGCTGTTGCATGCTCACCCTCGGTGCCCGAAAGAGAGATGCTAAAGCTTGCATCGTCTTCGTCGTTTCAGCATCATCACCAGGTCCTCATCGTCGTTGCCCTCCTCCTCCTCTTCCTCCTGCTCCTGGCGATTCATGTTCAACATGCACCATGACAATTTTCACCCTTGCCCGCGTCATCACGGACAGACATCAGCCTGTTTTCCGATCTTACTCTCGTCACCATTGAGATTATCGTGCAAAAGCAGCACTGGCCTGTTTTTGACAACAGCGACGGCAGTGACAACAACCACCGCAGCCACAAGAAGAACCAGAACCACAACAACAAGCAGCAACAACCACGACAACAGCAACAAGAGTAACGACAAGAAGAACAGGAATAACAAGAACAAGAGTAAGAATAAAGCACGAATATGAACAAGTAGAGTTAACAAGAGCAGGAACAAGGAGAGTAACAACAGCAATAATAACGAGAAGCGTAACAACAACAAGGACTAGTACAAGTGCAAGTACAAGTAGAAGTACAAGAAGACCTGCAAGACTAAGAACAATGAGAACATCAAGAGGAAGAACACGCACAAGACAAATGAGAAAATACCAAGAAGAAGAGCACGAAGACACATAATAATACTAGTAACAATAACAACAACAATAACACGAGCAATAGCAATAACAAGGACTATAACCATAATCAGAACGAGAACTATGACAAGAAGAGGAATACTAAGAAGAAGAGTAAGAAGAGTGATGGCAATAATCGGAGCCAGAACGTGAGCAAGAACAGGAACCAGAGCACGATCAAGAACAGTGTCAAGACAAGAAGAAGACCAAGAACAAGTACAAGTACAAGTAGCAAGAACAAGAGTAATAACAACAAAGAATACTTGTAAGAAGAAGAAGAACAAGATAAATAACAGGATCAATGCCAAAACAAGAACAATAACAATAACCGGAATAACTAGAACAAGAAGAACAAGAACAATAACAGCAGCAAGCTACCAAGAATAAGATCAAACAACCCAGGACAAGAACGAATGACCAAGAACCAGAACAAGAGCCACAGCCACAGCCACAGCCACAGCGACAGCGACAGCGACAGCGACAGCGACAGCCACAGCCACAGCCACAGCAACAGCATCAGCATCAGCATCAGCATCAGCATCAGCAACAACAGCAACAGCAACAGCAACAGCAACGGCAAGGGCAACAGCAACAGCACCAGCAGCAGCAGCAGCAGCAACAGCAACAGCAACAGCAACAGCAACAGCAACAGCAACAGCAACAGCCACAGCAACAGCAACAGCAACAGCAACAAGAACAATAGTAATATCAATAGCATTAGCAATAACAATAACAATAACAATACCCATACCCATACCAATACCAATACCAATACCAATACCAATACCAATACCAATACCACCACCACCAACAACAACAACAACAGCAGCCACCGCAACTGCAACCCCACAACCCCACAACCCCACAACCCCACAACCCCACCCCACAACCCCACAACCCCACAA